GGAATTAAGAGAAGTTGAAAATGAAGTAGAGGATTTAATGAATATCCCAGCTTCAGAATCAGAAGTACAGAAATCTCATGAAGAAAGATATAAAAATTATGTCTCAGAATCAACACAAAATTTATTAGATGGTGAAAGAGACGAAACACTTTCAGAAGAAGGTACTAAATTTATTCGTAAACATAAGCTTCAGTTTATTGACGATGGAGATTATCCATGTATCTTACTTTCACCCCCTCTCGATTCCGAAAAATTCAAAAAAGCTCTTAAAAACATGACATATGCAACTAATACGATTAAGAAAGAAGATCATGATATTTACACAAATTATTATTTAAATAAATGCACAGGTGTTGATATAGTTTTTGATTTATTAGATAAAATATCAAAAGAAACCATTGGAACCTATAAAATTTTGTGTGATTGTGGTTTCATTATTGAAGATACTAATAATGTTTCATATGAAAGAACAGCACCGAAGGAAGACGAAGTTGAAAGGTCTATACCATTCGTTATTAAGAACATAAAAGATATGAAAACTTATAAACATTATATTTATTCATTTATTTCAGAAAAAATGGAAGCAACCCATAAAACATCTTCTCATCATTTTATAGCTATTCATACATTCCTTTTCAAAGTTGTGAAATTAAATAAGACAGGAATTAGATTTAATGTATCAGGGTACGCATTCTTGAGTAAATTATAGGGTGTCCAAAGGTATGTTTAGCACAAACCTGAATACCGTGAATAGAAATAAACAAGTTACATATATATAAAGTTTATTTAAATATAATCACCATTGGATTCAATCACGCGTTCGCAGCGATCGATCCAGGCTTGAAAGACACGCTTTAAATCATCATGAGAAAATTGCTCAAATTGCTCTCTTACAAAATTTTCAAGATCATCTGGACTCGCGAATTCGCGTCCTTCAGCTCTCTTTTTTAGCGTGCCGAATAAATAAAAGTCAGAGGGTGCAATATCAGGTGAATAAATTGGGCTTGGAACAACTTTGACATTGTTTTCCACCAAGTAATTCATTACCTTATGACTTTTGTGAACTCTTGAATTATCAAAATGAATTGCAAACTTTTGTTTTTGTTGTTTGGATTTCTCAAACTCATCAGAATTGATAATTTGAGTAAGAACATTGTCAATTAGATACTGAGCATTCATCGTATTAGGTTTTTGAAGAATATCAATTGCGATGATGCCATTCACGCCCCAAAAAACCGACAACATCATCATTGGTGTGTCAATTTTTTTCTTCGGGAATGTTTGCGGATTTTCATCCTTCGGGATCCACATGATTTTGGCTTCTGTTGCATATTGGAACCAAGACTCATCCCCTGTTACTAAAAAGCGAAACTTCTTGGATTGATACGCACCCAATATAGAGAGGAGCTCTTTCGAAGATTGGACTCTAGATTTTTTTGAACTGAATTAAGGTTGTGCGGAACCCAACGTGTATACGCTAGTTTGTAGTTCAAATAATTGTGCAGATAATAACTGACTGTTGTACGTGGTATCTTTGTCATCTCCTCTATCCTTCTGAGTGATGCTCTTGGGTCTTCATCTAGCGCTTGAAGAATTGCTTTGATTTTTCTTTGATCCGGCGATTTTTTGTCAATTTTTATGATGGGTGCCTTTTTGTTCATGAAGTGATACATCCTAATATGATACGTTACAGTGGAATAGCTAGGAGCATCCATACCGAAGCATTTTACCAATGTCTCGTAGATTTTTTTACAGTCTTTGCATTTTTTTGCAAGAGCGAGGATGTTTTCTTTATGATTCATTAAAAAAATGAAAAAAATCCCGCCAAAATTTCCCGCGAAACCGCCTCTTGTCTCAAAATTCATTTTATATCCCGGCATGGCGCCAAAATACAACATACTCATCATATACATATATTCATATTTTTTATTATATATTTATAATCAGCATATATCTCCTTTAATAATCTCATATAGAGCGCTGTGCTAAACGCACCTTTGGACACCCTATAAAATGTATTCGTCACGTCGCAGATGATAAAAAATTATGTGTTCTTAATTCATTTTATGGGCTTTAAAAAATAAACTTTATTTTTATTTATTTTTTAATTTTTTATTCTTACATAAATGAACAAAAACGGAACAGCTAAAATGAATGATAATCAAATTAGAGCAGAAGGTAGAAGGTTATTTAAACGCTTCTATAACATTCCTGATGGTGTTAATCCTAAAACTCGTAGAAGCTATTTAAATGAAGCAATAGATGCATATGAAGGGTTTGACATTTCATCAGAAAGTGAGAGATTAGCGAGAATGTTAAATGTTAATATTGATTTCTATTATTGTGATCCTCAACCAGAAGACGTGGACATAAATAAGGTAGACTTTCCATTAGTGGAATCAATAATGATAGATCCAGAATTTGAAACAGTAAATATTTTATTAACACAGAGTCCATGTGGAAAACTTCACGCTGACAGAATAACAGACGTTGAAGCACTCACAGGATATAAAGTTTGCCCATATTGTAAAGAAGAAGTTTATTCTATCCGTGATGATCCAGAAAGGAAAAACCAAAGAAGATTTTTAAAGCATTGTGAGAAATGTAAAGAAAATAATGGAAGATTAATTCAAGACGTTCAGTTGCAAAAGACACAGCAACCATATGCACCACATATTACGAAACAGAAGATATATCAGTGGTTATTAGCTCACAATTTGCAGGAATATTATAAACCGACAAGATATTATATTACTTTTGACTTCGAAACATTAGAGACTAAAGAAGAATTACAACTTTCTGAGTGTGCAACTTTGAACGCTTACTTAAAACCATTCATGGTATCATCAACGGTTAAATTAAACGATAAAACATATACGAGGAATTTTTGCTTAACTTCGAGTGATTCTTTTATTTCTGATTGGATTGAGTTTTTATTTTCAACCTGTTCATTAGTTGTTGAATCAAATATGAAACAATACGATGAATTATTGAAGCCGCAAACATTAAATGAAAAACAGAAGGAAGCATTTAAAGAACTTCTAGATGAGGAATTCAATAAAGTGAATATCATAGGTTTTAATTCGGGAAAGTTTGATTTAAATTTAATTCTTCGTGATTTAAACACTGCAAAATGGAAAATAAAATCAATGCTGGGTTCTTCTTCTCAATTTAAGCAAGTCATTGTAAAGAAAACAAACGCTCCATATGAATTGAGATTTATTGACATCAGAAATTATATAGCGGGTGGGACATTAGACCAATTCACTCAAGATTTCGGAAACAATAAATCACGTGTTAAATCCTTTTTCCCTTATCAATTCATCACATGGGAGAATTACGAAGAAGAATTATATAAAGAGGAACCATTCACGAAAGATTCATTTTATTCAGCATTAACCCAAGAAACTATATCAGATAGTGATTATCAAATATATCTCAATGATGCTAAAAATTTTAAGAATAGATTAGAATATTTTATTCATTATTGCAATAAAGATGTTGAAATTATGATTGACCCAATCGATAAAATTATTGAAGAAACATTTGTTTATAAAATTGACACGCTTCATAATCTTTCTTTATCATCGAATGCTTCAATGATTCGTTACGCTTTAGCATATAAAGACTTTAATCCTAATGAAAAATATCCTGAGGAAGAGATAGAATCAAGTTTTGAATTAACGAAAAAGTATTGGAAATATAAAATTGAATCATATAAGAAACAAGATGAAAAAGCAGAAAGGGATACTAAAAATAATGTTTCAATGGATGATTTTCAATACTATCACGATTTAATCCTTTCATCTAAATGCAAAATGTGTGGTAAAGCGTTTACATATGCAAATAAACCAACATTGGATAGAATAGATAATGAAAAACCACATACTAAAGAAAATTGTCAGTTAATGTGTTGTTATTGCAATGTCGTGAAATCAAATAAAGATGAAGATGTTCAACGTTTAAGAATCAATTTAAGAAATTATGCATTAAAAAATAATTTACCAATGACTTTAGATTCAGTTGAAGCTTATCACATTCTCCGTAATGGAATTACTGGTGGTTTATCAAATGTTCAACATAGAGTAAATCTTAAAGGAATCACGCACATTAATAAACTTTCATATAGTCCAGAAACTAAAACTGTATCAAATGAGGACACTTCCAACATCATGACTCATTTCGTTGGTGTTGATTTTAATTCATTATATCCTTCATCATTTTCATCTAATCCTCATGATTTCATTCAATATACTGACCATAAAATGTATATGCCGGGAAGATTGAATGGTGTTATCATTTGTGATACAGCAACAAAGAAAGCAAAAGCACTGGGAATAATTAAGAAGAAAAATACTTTATTCGTGGCTGAAGTAAAGGGTCACATTGATGAAAAATACATTAATGATTACATAAACTTTTTACCGATAATAAGAAACTTAGATATTATCACAGATGAAAAAACAATTGGCAGTTTTATGTATAATTACATGAAATCAAACAATCTACCAGTTGACCAGAAACAGAGGAAATTAACTCAGTTAGCATCAACACACAACCAATATCAACCATTTTCTTCTTATTATCTATGGTATCTAATCGACAGGTTTAATTTTATCATTGATGACATTCAATCAATTTTAACATTTACGAAAAACACTTGTTTTAATGAATTTGCGAACGAATTTATGAACGAAAGACAAAAGGCTGAATTAGAAGAAAATAAAGGAAAAAGTTTATTTTGCAAGATTTCGCTTAATGGATCATATGGTTACGATGCAATGAATACACAAAATTACGCAAAGACTAAAATAATGAATGCACAGAAGGCACGCGTTGCATGTATGTCAAATAAGTTTAAAAACATAAGAGAAATAGGTGAGGATACATATCAAGTGATGCTTAAAGATAGATTTTATAGATGTGATACATGTTTACAAGAGGCATTTTTTACTTTAGATAACGCAAAATACTGGTATTTAGTTTTCATTTATGATTTTATGTATAAATGCATGGATGTTAATCGTTTTCATTTCATTGAAGGTGATACTGATTCATCTTATTGGGCAATCGCTGGCGACCCAAATCTTCCTAACACTCAAGCATTTCAAGCAATTGTTACCGATAAACAATTTTATGATAAAAACATTTTCAAATTCGCACCATTTGATTTCTTCTGTTTTGATGAGAAATTTAAACCTAAATTAAAGAATAAAGCTGAAGAAAAAGCACATGAGAAGAAGTTATTGGGTTTAGCAATTGAGAAACAAGGTGATAACATGGTTGCTTTATGCCCTAAGTGTTATACATCATTCAACGGTTCAATTGATGGAAGTGATTTTAAAAAGATTGCACAAAAAATGAAAGGTGTTAGTTTACGACAAAATAAACAATTAACACCTAAAATTATTTGGATATAATAAATGATAAAGTGATATTTGATGGTCAGAATATTAATTTACAACTTAAAAACGGGTCAATGACTCGCTTAACAATCGGTAAGACTGCATTAACAGGAGCACACACTAAGGCTGTATGTTGTGAAAATGGATGTTGTATGCCATTTATTTAATACAATTTAAAAACGTAGGGGTTGAGTCATGAATTTAAAATTTTATTTTTAATAAAATGCCACAGAAGAGACAAAAGGAACCGTTAATGATGCGATTCAATATGTAAATAATGGTTTTGATACTATGATTCAAAGAGGTGGGCACCCTTAAAACATTTATTTTATTTTTATATAAATGGATAACGCAGATTTAGAAAATTTAATTGATGATTTAGTACTTTATCAAAATTTTCTTAATTATTATGAATTAAAATCATATCTCCAAAAACATAATAACAATATAACGGGTGATGATATGGATTATTATTATTCATATTATAAAAATGAAATTTTGAAATATCATGATAAAATAATTTCTAAAATTAAAGACAAAATTAAAAATAATGAATATACAAAGGGAAAAACTAAATCACAACTTAAACAATTGAAAGATTTCAAAAATAAAGTATTAACAGAAGAAGATATTGATGAATTATATAAATTATATAATCCTGAGCCGCAAAAGCCAAAGGAACAAAAGCCAAAGAAGAAAAAGCCGAAAACAACACCAAAAGAGAAAGTAGCAAATGTTCAACAGCTAAAGGTGCAAAACGCCCAGATCCTTCAGACCATAAATGATGCACAAGCTTTAATTTATGATTCATTAGTTAAACCATATTCAGCCCGACTTTTAAATGAAGATCAACTTTTGGAATTCATCCTTCAACATAAACTCGAAGCGGGAAAGTATATCAAACCTTTATAATACAGCATATTTAAAACAAATGAATAGAAAGTTAGTATACATATCATGTGTATGGTGGCACTGCGTTCCACCTTACCCAATACTTGTGAATTTGACACTTTACAAAACCGTTAACATATATTTTTACAACACAAATGACAACACTAACTTAACCTTAAATATTTACAAACCCACTAACGACTTCACTAACGAATTCACTAATGTTTTCACTAATGACTTCACTAATGTAAAAATAAACGTTCTCACTTACAAAAGTATTGCAACTCCTCCCATTGCTGTGCTTCACATAACAGCTCATAATCTTCTGACTCACTTTCTTCTTCATATAGGTCAAAATCACTGTCAAAATAAATGTTAGTAAGTTTTGACAAATGTAATGAAACACGTTTACCGTTTGTATCGTATGCTTGTATAAACTTTCCATTCTTCATTCCTTCATAAACGCTCAAACTAACTTTACCCTTTCTCCCTCGTATCTGATAGAATGTATTTTCACGAGGAACGAAGAACAAATTCTTGAACTCATGACCGTTGTAGTTTGTTATCTCAATAGTTTTCGTCATTTACATCCAAATAAAATAAAAAATAAAATAAAAAATAAATGATCTCACCACCCCCACACGTATGAAAACATAGCGCAAAAATAAATTTAGGTGAAGCGGTGAGGTCTCACCTCTTTTTTCACCCTAGCCGCAAAGCGGCTCTGACCCTTTGGGTCTGTTGAATTCATTGCTTTATAACTCTCTTCCTTGGTTTCTTTTTAGTTGCTTTCTTCACGTCTGTCTCCAACTTGACTGTCTTTCTTCTTCGGCCGTAATGATACCAGTTACTTCCACCAGTCAATGGGTTAAATGGTCTTTCATAAGGGTTTCCATACATTCCATAGGGACCATACGGAAGAACTACTGATGGAGGAAGAGTTCCATCGACTCTATTTAAATGCATTGTTTCACTTTCATCTGGTCATTAAAGTCTTTGCGTGTTTTGCAAACTCGTCGTCCTTTCCTAAAGCATTTTCTGACTCAGTCGCACCAAATTGGATGCTTTATTTATGAGCCCTATTTTATTTAATCTTAACTTCTTTGCAACCCAGCCTCCAATCTTCCCTTTATTTGCATCTAATGTCTTTGAAACCCTTCCTCCACTCATTTTATTTACTGCGTCATAAGCTCCAAGTGCTTTTGCTCCAAATGCTAATGCTTTTGTTCCCATTGCGCCTAAAGCTGCCCAAGCTACCATTTACACCATATTAAAATCATCTCTCTTCAATATTATCTCATAAAAGTTCTCGTTACTGAGAAAGTCAATGAAACATAAGCGTTCTCACGGGCTTCGCCCTCACCGCTTTGCGGTCTATCTAACTTATTTCTTATATCATCTATACGCTTCAAAATGTTGAACAATTGCTAACATCTTCTACAACAGTTATTTCATCATGAATGACCTTCAAGAACAAGCTCATTTAATATGCAATTAAAATCATCTCAATAATGAGTCCATCCTTTCATCTTTAGGTAGCACAACATCTTTCATTGAAGAAGGTTCGACAAGTCTTATGTTAAACTTACTGACAAAGTTTGTTATACTATAATGCTTCGGTGGCGAATACATGTAGTTTGAAAGACATAATATAGATTCTTCAGCAAATTCACTTATACTGGATTTTATAACAATGTTCTCACGAGACCAAATACCACCAATTGACAATCTTGTAAGCAATCCTGCTGAACCTTCTACTGTAAATGTCGATGGTAACATTCCACGAAGGTCATCTATTGACATCGTTGAGTCACTGTATTTAAATATTTTTAAAGCAATCGTCATTATCTAACCATGCAATAGCTTTGAAGTTTTCATTCGAATATACATCTGCTTCATTAAATGTAAACCTGACTTCTTTGCAGAGATGACTTTATAAATCTATTGAGTTTGTTTCAAAATTATATGCTATGGTAACTTCTGAAGGTAATGGATGCCCTTCCGCAGTCAGTTGTTCTCTCACTACCATTTGAAGCTTTGTGTTAAAAACTTTCATGTCATCTCCTGTATCTAAGTTCACATACACAGCAACAGGAAAACTATCTTGCTTCTTTGTTTCATCATTATATCTCAAAACATTAAAGTTCTTCAATAATATTGTTCTTCCTGCTGGAATACTTCGAACCTGTCTGATTTCAATAGCTTTCTCACCTCCTACATACTCTACCCAGTGCCTTGGATATTCATAAGTATACTGACTTTCTTGAATTTTGGTTGGTTTCATCATAACGTGTTCATAGTATATCTTTATACTCTTGTCAGTTAGACTCGGTGCTATGTTCTGAATATTTCTGACTTGTATTTTTAATGGAGATAAAATGAAGCATTTAATACATGACGTAGATGAAGACATGAATGAAACTACAGACAAACTTAACTCTTCTCTTATTCTTCCTTTCAGCAAAGATTATGAATTCTGTTCAAATGGCGTTTATTTCTATTGTGGAAAGATGGGTTCAGGTAAGACATTTAATTTAATTCGTCATATACTCATAACAGAGCGTTTAGGAAACGACTCTTACTATGACCAAATCATTATATCAGCAACTTCAGACTCTATGGACTCAACAGCGAAAACATTTATGTCAAAAGTTCAAGCCTCTGTCGTTAAAGTTCCAGACAGTGAACTCATTGAATTTCTTCAACGTTACATTCGACGTAAGAGGAAATATTATGCCATCGTAGAGTTCATACAGTCAGGAATGCAAAAGACTTCTGAGGAGATGGAAAGAATTATTGACAAACACCACTTACGTCAGTACTCAGGAGTTTACGATATGAAACGACTTACAAACTACATTCTGTCAAAACTTTCAAAATACCCCTTCAAAAAGTATCCTTCAAATACTCTGCTCGTTTGTGACGACTTCGCCGGAAAAGGTTTAGTTTCAAAACCAGACTCACCATTAGCTAACATCATAACTAAAGTCAGACATTACCACTTAACTGTAGCAATACTTATGCAAACATGGCGTTTTCTTGCTTTAAACATAAAACGTCTCATAACTGACTTCGTTATCTTTCAAGGTTTCTCACGTTATGATATTGAACTCATTTGGAAACAGTCAGGTATAACATTACCTTTTGAAGAAATTTGGGAAGCATATAAGTCTCTCATCTCTCCTCGTTCATACCTTGAGATTCATATCATGACTAATACCATTAAAGTCAAAAATATTCCATGGGAACGACCAACATTGTTTTAAAGTTTAACCTTCAATTGACTGATGGTAAACAAATTCCATGCATCTCTGTCGCCATTTCTGTTAATATTTTTGCTGTCATTCATATCATCCACTTCTCCATCTGTTAACTTTTGAGGATATGTGTTAGAATAGCTGTTCTTAAATGAAGGCTTCTCTCCCTTGAGAGCATAAACTCTATAACTTTCTGCATACTTTATGTTTGAACCTCCTGAGCCATCATTGACATAAATTTTTATAGGCTTCCACCTTTGTTCATGTTCCTGCTTCTTCCTTTGCTCTTTTGTTCAGTAGTTCTACATCTTTATACACAGCTCCTGTCTCAGTGAATTCAACAATATTTTCATTCGTTAGCTTTACATTCAAACCCTTGTCGAGTGTATTGTTCATTTCATACATATAAAAGGTTTTTATTCTATATGAAATGAGAAGCAAATCCATCTTAGCTGGTGCCGTTAATGTTCCAATTGAACCAACATCAAATGTTGACTCACGAACGACAAACAATATTGTCATAAAGAACTATAGTTCAGAGTGTTTGAAAGAACCAGAACCAGAACTTAAGTCGGTGAATTTAAACTCAGCTTCAAACGCTAACGCTACATCAGATGTTAAGTTAGAGTATCCACCACTGGACCAAATTCTTTCAAGAGAAGCCAACGACAACCCTTACATAAATGTTCAAACAAATCCTTCAGATAACGTAGACCATTACCTTCTTCAGTTATACCAAACAATTTTACTCAAAGACGATAAGAAGCTTTTGACAAATCTTATAAGCAAGAACCAAATAATTCTAACAAAGGAGGACCTTGAAAATGTTATCTCACGAATAACAGGGAAACAATGTGTCATTGACTATCTCGACCCTGAAATCGAATGCTGTGGTCAAACGCCACCATTCATGAAAATAGGTAACATCCGCATCATTGAAACACCAGGTACTCCAGGAGTTGAGTTTAAGTATAAATATTCGAACGAGTATACAAAACTATCTACTTACTATAAACTTTGCTTGAAATATGTTTTAGTAAATTAAAGCAATTTGTAATATCTGTCCAAAACTTCTTCAACAGTATCGAACTCATCTTCATAATGCAAACCTAATCTTATTGACTTGGTGCAGTTTTCACTAACACAATATAGCGCTTTGCGCTCGGCGCCTTTGACGCCTTTTTCTGTTCTCTTGACTGACATAACTAACTCATTTGTTTCATCAAACAGCAACAACCAAAGTTCATGACCTAATACATAACATTCATACTTTATATTTTTAGCTCTGAGTTCTCTTGTAAGCTGTTGCATTTAATATTTTCTAAAAAGTCAACTTCAACAGTCATTCGCACTGGTGCCTTCAGTTCTACAGGCTCTCCTTGAAAGTCAACAAGTCTGAATTGCATGTCTTTCAAATTATGAGGACTAATGCGAACCCATTTACCTAAATGAGTTGCTATGACAGGAACGTTTGGAATGAACATTGAATTGACTGCATAACAGAAAGACTTATATTCTACTGAACCTTTACTATTAACTCCTGAAATACCTGTGACATTAGCTATTTTTGACTCAATGTATAAACAATTACCATAACATACGTATGGAACAGATTTCATCTCAATCGTTTTGTCAACACTTTTCAAAGGAAATGTCATATGGTATGCACCCAGAAGCAATTGAACTCTATGACTCATTCGTGTTATCTTGAACTCTTTCTTGCTACTGAACTTCAATGTTCCCTCAGAAGAGAGTTCGACATCTATGTTGTCAATAGTTTCTTCATTTATGAGAGTATCTATGACTCCAGCAATTTTATCTATTCTATACTCTGCTCTGTTAGGAAATGTTATAAAACTTCTTTTGTCATCTATTTCAAACTCCATGAAATCTGTTTCATCTGTTATGACAAAAGTTGCGATAGTATTGAAGTCAACAACTCTGAAAGCAAGCGCTTCATTCTGAAGACCTAAGTTTGTTTGTAGCTTTACTGTCCCGTATTCGTTTGGGTCTGTACTTTGCAAATAGAACAACATTTTATTCTCATTAAAATATGACTATTGCTGCATATGCGTATGAAACAAATGAAGCAAGAAGAGCACATGAACTAGTAAACGAAAACTCAACTTTAACCATTGAAGGCAATGATTTAGTCATTGACGATGGAAAAACTAAAAAAGTCATTGATTTCGATACTTTTAACACTTATGACCCATTCATTACAACAAGTAAGGTTCCTATTATAAATGATGGAACGGTGCAATATATAAATTCTACAGTAGATGCCTCATTAGTGAAAGTACTGAATGTTCTCATTGAATTGTTAAAGAGCTTTCGATTTGACGACAACATTAAATGCCTAAAGAATTTAGTCATGAATGAGAAACAAATTCTTGGCGTTGCTGGTAGCAGTAATGATGTACACCTTATGACATTAGAATATTATAACGAACATAAAGATGAACTGAAAGGAGAGAAGGGTGACACCGGACCTCAAGGACCTCAAGGACCTCAAGGAATACAAGGAATACAAGGAATACAAGGACCTCAAGGCGAAAACGGTTTGGATGGAAAGGATGGAAAGGATGGAAAAACTGCTAAATCATGGATATGGGACCTTATAAATACTGGTTTAACAGCTGCTTAATATGGAGTTCTTCAATACCAAATCGGAAAGATATGGGCGGTACTTGGTGAAGAAGTTTTAAATGACGTTAAAAATGCTTTGAACTTCATTTCAAATGGTTCGGATACTATTAAAACTTTATCTGGTTGGATGCAAGAAACAAGGAGTCAAATAGATACTGTAAGACGTATAGCAAACAATGCACGTACGGGATTGGATACTTTACGACAAGCACAAAATACACTAAAGGAAGCAAATGATATTCTTGGCTCAGTATCAGACATGCATGAAGATTGGCTTAAAGGTATTGACAAATCTTTAAAAAATCACAGTCAGTCTATTGCTGACTACAAGAAAAGTATAGATTTTTTACATAGTGCTATGGACGTACATGATGGAAGCATAAGGAACTTACTTAATGCTAACAATAACTTACCAGGAACTATTAAAGCATTTATAAAGTCCTTTGTAAACCCCGGTGCTCTAACATTTAGGTCTTTGAGAGCAAGAGCATTGAAGTCAAGAGATGCAGAAACTCCAACAGAACCTACAGAAGGAACTGAAACAACAGAAACTCCAAAAGAACCACCAAAACCAACAGCTAATGAAATATTGTTCGAATATTTTCCAAGGTACTCTGTTCTCATTGCATACATTCAAGAAATACTTAAGAAAGCAGACTTGACTTTAGGAGATGATGAAAGTTCTGTATATCTTTCGTTCCAGTTTCAAATAGCAGACTTTTGAGACAGATATGCTTAATGTATGACAACATCTCTGATTTCACAAGATATGATGACGACCATGACCCCGAACACGGTGAAGAAGAAGAAGTTTACAAACATCCATTAAGACAGGAAAGGTTTTAACACAAAGTCTCATTATTGACACCAAAGATGGCGAAGTGGACGTTCTTCAAGAGCTGAAGAAAAATACTTCTTCGGGAGGTGGTGGTAGGCATGAACTTGAAATAAATGAGATAGAAGAGAAATTAGCCGAAAAAGCAGATAAAGAACATAAACACAATATCTCCGATATAAATGAACTTCAAGCTACATTAAATAGTAAAACAGATAAAAATGAACTTGACGCAATGAACAAAGTTTTGAAATCTCATAAACACAATATCTCCGATATAAATGAACTTCAAGCTACATTAAATAGTAAAGCGGACAAGAACCATGTTCATTATATAACTTCAGACGAACAGATTATAACGGACTACCATGGATATTTAACACGAAGTGATGAAGCGAAGACAAAAATGTTAATGAAAGAAGATATAAATACATTCGTGCTAAAGTTATGACATAAGCTGTACTGTACAGTATGATGTAGCTAAAGCACCAGAAGCATTTGGTTATACCGGTGAAATTTATGCCTCTACTTTCAATGTTAACGGTGTATATAGTTGAACCAAGATTTACTTTGAGAGTTAAGGCAAAAATAACGTTTGAAGATGCTATTAAAAGTAAAGCTGACAAAGTTGAACTCGAAGCAATGAACAAAGTTTTAGAAATCTCATAAACACAAATCTCCGATATAAATGAACTTCAAGCTACATTAGACAGTAAAGCTGACAAGAACCATACACATAAATCCTTCACTACTGTTAGAGCAGACGACATAATATTGAACTTTGACCTTGGTTCAAGTGCACCATTAGAAAATCCAAGTACAAGCGTAAAAGATACTCTTAACAATTTAGATAAGAGTTGCAGGAATATCGAAGATCATGCCAGAAACTTTGAAGCATATGAACTACCAACAATGTTAGATAAGAAAGCTGACAAAACAGAGCTTCAAACATTAAAGACTCAGATTCTTGAAACATTATATCCTATAGGCTCTATTTATACGTCAATGAACTCAACAAATCCAGCAACAGTTTTAGGTTTTGGTACATGGCAGCAGATTGTAGACAAATTCTTATACTGTGCTAACTCTTCAAAGCAAACAGGAGGTTCGAAGAAAATTAAAGAAGCAAACCTTCCACCACACACTCATACAGGAACTACAAACTTTTCTGGCGACCATATCCACTCATTAAGAGACCATCCATTATACAACTCAGAGTATGAAGCTGGCAATGACGTTTTATCTCCATCTTATAACAATGCAGCAAAAAAGACTTTTCGACAAACTGAACCGGGAGGAAATCATTCACACACTTTCACAACAATCCAACAGGCTCGGGTGAAGATTATATGCCACCATTTATGACTGTATTCGCATGTTAGAGTTCAATGAACGCGCTTGAGCCTAGAATAAAATCTTTAACTTTACATAAATGAGCTTGAAAGAAGTATTCGAACAACATCCATGGAGGTCATTTAAGAAGTTCAATGAAGCTGCAAAGAGTTGGGGATTTACTAACAGAGCTGAAGTGAAAAGTTCTTTGACAAAAAATGTTGTACATCAAACAAAAATAAACCCTTACGACTACTTTTTACCAATTTACTCCAACACTCCTGACGCATACCAATTTGACACTCTCATTCAAAGCAGAAAAGGAGGACATAAACCATTCCTCATCTTCATAAATGTTAACACTCGTAAAGCATATGCATATCCAATGAAAAATAAAGGAACTCGTGAAGTGTTAAGAGTTTTACAAAAGTTTGTAGCAGAACATAACCCAAGTACTTTAACATCAGACCAAGACAGTGCATACCTCAGCAATGAAATCACAGATTTTCTCATTAAGCATAACATAACTCACTACACTACTGAAGACCATAACCATAACATACTCGGCATCATAAACCGCTTCATAAGGACTCTCAGAGATTTAAACCAAGAGCGAGACTTTACCGAAGAAACAATGAAACATTTTCTCGAAGTATATAATTCCTCAACACATTCTACAACAGGACATACACCAAATTCAATGACACAACAACAAGAAGAAAAGTATATACAAAAGAAACGAAGCCAAACACAAAATATCAGAAATTCAACACAATTTACCCTCATTCCTGGAACAAAAGTTCGTGTAGTTCTTGACGACAAACCGTTGACAAAGAAACGTTTAAGGTTAAGTAGAAACTATTATATCGTAGACTCTACACAGGTAATGGATATCTTATAAAAGCTGCCGACGACTCTATTGCGTTTTATCCTCGACATAAATTAGTCGAAAGTAGTAATGGCAAACTTGCTGAAACCATTGACGAAGCAAAGCGAGGAGTGGTTATTGAAATACTTGACTACAACATAAACGATGACACTTATAAAGTAAGATATGAAGGAGGCGTTGAAGATGTTATACCATCTAAGAACTTGAGAGAGTCAAAGCCAACACATCTGGGACCATTAGAGCGGGAGTACTGGAAAGACAAAAATATGTCAGAAAGAATAAGAAAATTCTTCTAAACTTTTTCATTAGATGTAAATCAGACAAAAATAATGTTTAGGTGAAGAGGTGAGATCTCACCTGTTTTTTCACCCCGTGAATTTTCATGAATTTTCACAAAAGACCAAAAATAAAGTTAGTTTTATTTTTTTTTATTTTTTTATTTTGTATGTAAAGACAATAATGTCAGTCGAAGCAAAAACATTCACGAACAAATCTAATGGTGAAACATTCACAAAAGGCACTTATAACGGTATTGAAGTCTTACGTAGAGACAAGGATGGTTACATTAATGCAACAAAGATGGCAAGAAAAGCAGGAAAGTTAAACCATTTAAACAGATTTCTCAATAGTGCTAAAATGCAGGAAATTCTTGAGTTTTGGTTGAAAGAATACGGTCGAGCCAAAAGTGGCTCAACCTCAAAACAAGCATTTTATGAGCTTACTAAGGGCGTTATGAATGAATTCAAAGGTATTTACATACATGCTGACCTCGTTCATTTTTGTTGCTGAATGGTGCTCTGTAAAGTATGCATTTTATGTCAAAGATATTATGGACTCCATAGACAAGAAAGTTCATGAGAAGTTAGATGAAGAAGAACTCGAAGATACAGTGGAGAATGCTAAACCTTTGTTCGAAGAAGAAGTTGGAAAAATGTGTGAAAAACAATTAGAACATGAACGTGAGATATATTATGGTTATAGAGATTCTCCATACGAACTAGACCAATGGGAACAAGAAGATTTAAAGAGAGAATTTAGAGAATATGAACTCGCTAAGATAGCATTTGAAGCTGCAGAAAAGAAGTTAAAAGTTTGGGGTCGTTTTGTACAAAAATATTGTGAGTAAATGAACCATTTATTTTTATTGAATTCAGTAAAAATAATGTTTAGGTGAAGAGGTGAGATCTCACCTGTTTTTTCACCTCTTTTTTCACCCCGTGAATTTTCATGAATTTTCCCGAAATAAAAAATAAAGTTAGTTTTATTTTTTTTATTTTTTTATTTTGTATAAAAGATATGATTTCAACAATCGGCACAACAACAATTCAAGCCGCGAACGGCGGGACTCTGTCCACAACTACAGCACCAAACTCGTTAGTCATGAATCCTACGTCAATGTTAGTAGAGATGAAAAACTTCATTCCTTCTTCATATACTTTTGAAACAAAAATCCAGAAGATAAAGCAAGAACTTTTAACAAGTAATTTAGACTGTAGTGCGAAAGATGAAGAAAATGAAGAATATCTTTATGAAATGCAGGACATTATTGACCATTTACCCAAATTGCCTGAAATTCAGCATCAAAAACTAACTATTCCTGAATTCGACGAAATTAAAGTTAAAGTTACTGACTCAGTAGAAATAAAGAAGTTCATACGTAAAGTAAATTATGAATTCCTTGGTTTTCATTGCAACCATAAGGTTATGGACAAAGATTGCGACATGGTATATAAAAACATTTCTGACATATATAAATCTGAGGAGTTTAAGACTTACGATAACTTTGTTTCATTAGTTGCAAAATGTGTTTGGGAAATAAGAGATAAAGATAGAAGAGGCAAAGTATGGAACGAACAAATAAGACCCGCTATGTTTGAGATGAAGAAAACCATTGACGCCTTAGTTGTTTTAGCTGGTTTTATTTCAATGTATAACGCAAAAATGAACCCGCAATGTTCAAAATGTAAGGCAGCAATTAGGAAATATAACTACTCAGTCAAAGAGATAGAAAGAATGAGAAACGACTATGCAGACTTAAAGAAAGAAGCAGAAAAGCCAGCAGAAAATAAAATGGACATGTTGACATTTCTGAACAAAAACTATCCAACAGCAGAAGATTTCCTTCTATCTGACGTCAAGAAGAAGTATAAAGAAACCTTCGGCATTGTTAAAACATTCGATGTACTAAAAGAAGAAATAGAAGCTACAAAATTGTTTAGGATTTCAAATATACATCGTACAATTCATGTAAAACGCTTGTGAAAAAAGAGGTGAAAAAAGAGGTGAGATCTCACCTCTTCACCTAAACATTATTTTTGCTGAATTCAGCACAAAATTCTGAGTAAAATAATTTTTAGGGCATGTGTCAAACCGTTGAGTTTTCACAAAATTCCAAAAATAACGTTTACCATGTAAAACGCTTATAAAATAACTGAGGTGAAAAAACAGGTGAGAAAACGGGTGAGATCTCACCTCTTCACCTAAACATTATTTTTGTTCAAAGCTTCCACGAGAGAAAAGATTCCTCATTCGCTAAGGATTCCAAAAATGAAAAAATCATTGATTTCGGCTGAGAAAAAACAGCAAAACCCTTCTTCCACGGGAACAAAGAAATAAAGAAGAAATAAAGTAAATTTTTTATTTATTCCTGTGGAAGATAGAGCACTTTTATGACACTTTTTATTCACGACAAACAAGACAAACAAAGAAAATAAGAAAATACGGCGCTGTCGCGGTTCGAACCACAGACCTTGACCCCTCCATAACACCACCTTAGACCACTGTGCTACGTAGCCTGTCGACATAAGATTTTATAAATTGCATATTTGACGTAAATTTATTTCCATCTAGCTTCCCACCGCATAAGATATTCATACGTGTTTGTAAGACATTCATTAAAATTCTTTTCTATTGCATCTAATCTTGCGTTATTTTTTTCAATAGCTTGTCTGTATTCTTCATCATCTCCAGCAGTGTTTGGGTCTTCACGTTTAAAATATTCATTGTTAACCAATTTTTTATCTACAAATTTGATTAGTGTTTGATTCACTTCGTTATGATAACGGTCATATTCTTTCAATACATAAGTGAAGACAAAATGCGTCGTACCTTCAATCTTAAAGCTTAAAGAACTTTCAACACAGTTTTGAGGGTCTGTCAGTGCGTCAATGAGATAGTATTCGAAGTCAGTCAATAATCTTTTTAAAGTCATTTCATACAGGATAAAATTTAATGTTGTGAAGAAATAGTGTTTATCTCAGAAAAAATAACGCTAATTTTATTTTTATTTATTTTTTTATTTTGTATGTAAAGACAGTAATGACAACATCAGAGAACACAACAACTGCTATCGTTCATGAAGCCATAAATGAAGAATATGAGTACATACAGTTTAACAAACAACTCCGTCTCATTCGTTCAGTCAAAGACGATATGTACCAAATGCAAAGTATTTTGACTGCATGTTTTGCTCCAGACACTAAACACGCAGACGACTGGTTCAAAAACCAAAGCACACAAGAACTTTTGAGTGAAGCACAGCGAGACATACTTTTTTCTGAAAACAGTGAAGAACAGCGAGACCGACTTCCTTCAGGGTCGCCTAAAACTCATGAAAACAGTGAAATTTCTCTAGACCGACTTTTATCGGCCATGCATAAAACACATGAAAATCGTAAAAATTTGCCAATAAATTTAAGAGGTTGGTATGTACATAGACTTCTTGTAAATGCTGTTGCAATGTGGGCTTCGCCTCGTTATGCTTGGTATGTTTGTAAACTTCTTGACGAAATTCACAGACAAGAACGTGAACAGATGGAAAAGAAACTTCAAGCAAAAGATGAAGTCATTGAATCCAAAGACAAAAGCATACAGAAAAGAATACCGCGTTCAGTACCAAAAGGAAAGGAAAAGAGTTATAAGTATATGATATATACTGAAGAGATGGAAAATGAAGAAGATAAAGATATGGTTATGTTGCATTTAGTCAGAAGAAACAAAAAAGCTTTTATGACCTTGCTAAGATTTACAAATCTGACAGAAACTGGTTCTATCGTGAAAACTTACCGATTTCAATGACACCGAATGAGCAAATAAAGGAAATTGTCAAAAATACTCTTCCTCAAACACACTATGACATCAAAGGTTGTACAATACTTACATTCAAAGAAGACTTAACATTACTGAAGGAAAAAATAACAGAATATTTCGACAACTTCAAAGAGGAAGAATAAAAAAATCTAAGCTAATTTTATTTTTTTTTATAAATTTTATCTCATATGAAAGAACATGAATTTAGAATATTCGGAACTCATGACAGAAGAGGAGAACGAACAGCATGTAAAAGATTATGCAAAATTTATGAAGACATACAAAGCATTTAAACAATATCTAAATGCTTCTAAAGATTATGCAAAATTTCTGAAGGTATATAAAGCTTATGAAAAAGCGTATGAAAAGTTTATACATTGGGGAATTGTTGTAAAATATCGATATGAAGACTAACCAAAAATATATTTTTGCTTAAATAGCTTCAGGGTCTATTTCTTCAACCATTTCACTTCCTTCGTCAATGTCAATTGAAGCTTCTTCAACCTTTGGTAAGAATTTGTATAACATCTTTGTTCGTTATTGTCTTCAGAGATGAAGGATAATATTTCACATTTGTTTCACCCTTCTTATATTCTTTCTGTTCGGAAAGATTCATAGCAATACTGAAGAAGTCAATGTTAGAGTTCTTTATGACAGTATAATGAGTATCTTTGACATTCACGAAGAAACTCTTTTGTTTCAAAACTACTGCTAACTCTTGTGAAGTATAACGTTTGCGGTCAATGACGATAGCTAATGGTCTGACATACTGACCAAACTTAGATTCTTTCACAAACTTCTTGTTAAAGATAACATTAACGTTTGAAGCATTATTGAACTCATTCTTGATGGCATTAGCGAGAGCATTGTATGAAAAGAACTTGCAATCTTGCATGTGTTTCATTATAATAAAAATATTAAATTATTTTGAAAAATAACTTAAAAAAAATCTAATCTAATTTTTTCAAAAATATTTTTTTTATTTCCTACTAAAGATGTATCGGAAGTTGTCTAAGTTAGAACACTCGGAAATAAAACAACTTCTTACAGAAGCTAACATAGATGTTGCAAAGCATTACGCAACAAACAAAAAAGCACTCGCTGACTTCATTAAAGACTATAATGGTGCAATAAGTTATGATAGAATTCATGATTACATTAATAACAAAACATTTCCTTTAAATGACGTTGCTATTGACTTATATCATAGACGTTCAATACCTCATGAAGTAAGGCGTGAGATGTTTGACATAACAAATGCAAACGTTGGTCATACTCGTAAAGCTCTTTCACATGATGTTCGTCAAGAGATGTTTGACATAACAAATGCAAACGTTGGTCATACTCGTAAAGCTCTTTCACATGATGTTCGTCAAGAGATGTTTGACATAACAAATGTGAACGTTGGTGAAACAAGAAGAAGAGACGACACACTGAAACAACAGAGAAGAGAGATGTTTAAAAGTGCTATAGAACAAGTTCGCAAAGCTAACGATGTCATTCGTTCCATTGACGACAAACCAAAAGAAGGTGAGAGATGGTTAAAGAAAGATGAAGAGAATAGGAAGAGAAATGTGAAGTCAGGCAATAGACTCATTGACTTTAACATCGAAGCTTTAGATGAACCAAACAGAGACTACTTACACAAACATTTCGGTAAGGTTTTCATGAGACTCTTAGAGAAAATTAAAATAAACTCCCAACAAAGATGGATGGTATGTTATAAACTTGGTGGAAAGTATGAATGTTCTACGTTAAACCTCAATAATATTGGAACATTACTACATCAGCTCTTGAAGGAGAACTTTATATCAGAGATAGAAGCAAATGCTGCAGGTATTGTTGAAATGCACTATGACTTCTTCTTGACAAACATAAAGAATCTTACCGAAATAAAGATGTATGATTTAACAGAATATGAAGGCTTAACGATGTCAGATGTAAAGAAAGGCAAACCAAAAAAGAGACCATATAGAGATGAAAGCACACTGACAAATGACCAGAAAGCCATTTTGGAAGCTCTTAAGCAAACAGGAAACCCAGCACTTATAGAAAGCTTTTGGAAAGATAATGGTGAAAAGAAGTTTTATAAGAAGAGAAGCGGTCAGTTCTGGAAGTATCTTTGCACATTACCTATAAATCTTGAACGCTACCAAATCTTCAATGAACTGAACAAAAGAACTGCAACACTTATGACAGAAGACAATTGTTTCGTTTATGCTTGCATTCAAGCTGGAGTAAATGAAGAAACTATTGACCACATGAGAGAAGTCATTCGTGTTAGAGACTTTCCTCAAAGTAAAGTACAAGAAATTTCTGACGCAACAGGTATAGCATTTAATGTTACCATTGGTTATTTCAATGACTCAAGACATAATGAAATAAAGAGATACATACCAAAAGAATGTGAAACTGTTAGAACTATTGACTTACTTCTTGTTGAAGACCACTACATGCTAAACGAAAGATTACCAATGACAACATATTTCATTCGCAACTATATAGAAATTCTCAAAGCTTGTGGTGGAATGAACATTGAGAAACAAATGAAGATTTATACAAAGAGAGAAGATAAATATGTAGTTCGTTATGATAGAACAACACCGCTATGGGATGTTATGAAAACATTGTGGGAGTGCAAATATTTCGAACCTATTTCTTATGGAGAACTTTTCACATATACGACTGACTTATATAAACAGAACCTTGCACCATTTAAAGATTTGACATATGCTCCAAAGTATTGTGTACAACTGAAGAAGAAAGCAGAGTCAAAAGAAGTAAATAAAAATAAGTGCAAGTTCATTCCTGAGCACGTTTTCTTTGCTGACTTTGAGTGTAGTACCGATGGCTTTCATAAAGCTTTTAACATATGTTATGACAGTGAAGATGGTTCAGTGAGTGAAAGCATATGGGGTCAGAACTGTGCAACAGAATTTTTGGAGCGACTTCCTGACAAGAGTTTAATATATTTCCATAACCTCAGCTATGATATAAACTTCATCTTAAGACACATGACAGAAGTGAAAGGAACTCCCATCATTAAAGGTTCACGAACAATGCAAATAACTGGCTTATATAAAGGAAGGGCAATTATTATAAAAGACTCTTACAGTGTTATAAATAAGAAGCTTAAACTATTTCCTGCTATGTTTAACTTACAAACAGGACCGAAAGAAGTATTTCCATATAACTACTACAGCAGTGTTTTGTTAGCAAATGACAACAGAACTGGTGTCATTTCTGAAGCATGTAAGTTTATCAGGATGCAGATACATTCATGAAAACATAGATTCCATCAAAGGTTGCAGAATAGATGAGAACCACTTCGACTTAGAAAAATATAGCACATTTTATTGCAAACAAGATGTAAGAATTTTAAGAGAAGGTTTTGTTAAGTTCCGCAATGACATATTGAAAGAGTTTGATTTAAACGTTTATGACTACGTTAGTATTTGTTCTATTGCTAACAAATTGTTTGAGAACAGAGTGTACTTCCCGAATGGAAATTTATATGACCTCTCAAATAAACCAAGAGAATTTATTTCACGCTGTATTCAAGGTGGAAGATGTATGTGTCAGATAACATGAAACAAAAGAGCGAAAAGAAACTCATTGCTGATTCGACGCTGTTTCATTATATCCATCAGCAATTGCAAGATTGTATACTTTAGAAGGTATTCCAAAGGTTATGAAGAAAGAAATGTTAAGCACAGAGTATCTCATGAGACATTTATTCGATGACGACCAAAAGGAACCCATTGGTGAAAAGTTTATGTCTGGCTTCTTTGTTCTCATTAAGATAACAGAGATTGGAATACATAGACACTTTCCTTTAATAGTTTGTGACCCTGAACTAAATCCAGAACTTAATGTTCCCAGAAGTTCAAACACTTGCTGTTTAATGTATGTTGACCATATAACATTACAAGACCTCATAAAATATCAAGGTGTCAAATGTGAAGTGTTGCAAGGATACTATTACGATGGAAACAGAGATATTAGAATAAGAGATGAAGTAAAGAAGTTGTTTGAGTTAAGGTTAAAGTATAAGAAAGAAGGAAATCCTTTGCAAGAAAATATAAAGCTCATTCTGAACAGTATTTATGGCAAAACTATTCTATCTCCTATTGAGTCAAAAATAACCATAGTAAATGACAAAGATGCTATAAGATATGCCATCAGAAACTACAACCATATAGTGAAGTTCGAAGGTTTGGATGGTTCAGATAAAACTATTTTCAAGCTAACGAAAAGCATTTGCAGACACTTTAACTTCTGTCCACTTGGTGTTAATATTCTATCTATGTCGAAGAGAATAATGTGTGAAGTATTCTGTACTGCTGAGGACTTAGGAATGGACATCTTTTATAGCGATACCGACAGTATGCATCTCTACAATGAAGATATCCCTCGTTTAGCTGAAGAGTTTGAGAAACGTTATGGAAGAGTTCTCATTGGTAAAAACCTTGGTCAATTTCATAGCGACTTTGCAGAAATCACACCTGGAAAACAAAGTTTAGCATACAAGTCAATATTTTGTGGAAAGAAGACTTACATAGACTTACTCACGAATGATTTAAATGAAGTTGCATTTCACTGCAGAATGAAAGGCGTGAAGCAAGATGTTATTGCTTTAACCGCTAATGAAATGTTTCCTGACTCTGTTCAGTGTTTCTATGATGAAGATAAAGGTTTAATGGTTCCGGGAAAATTTGACAAAGACTCTGAGTTCAGTTTAATGAAACTTTATAAAGCACTTTATGACGGTCAAGAGATTGGATTTGACTTATGTAAGTCTTCTAGTCCTTGCTTTGCTGAAAAGTTTAACTTCTCAATAACGACTAAAACAAACTTTATTCGTAAGTTGAAGTTCTGAGGTCATTTATTTTTGTCAGCAATGAGGTCATGAATGATAAAAATAAAGCTAGCGTAGATTTTACAATACTGCAATGGTAGAGTTTAAGAGTTGTGCTTCAATGTAGAGACAGTCCTTATGGTCTAGAGGTAAGAACACTGGGCAGTTATGGTCATGAGTGGAGAACATGTCTATCCAAAACTCACGATTGAAGCCAGTTAATTTATAGTATTTAGGGTTAGGAAGTGGTGAAGTTCTTGTATGACCAATGAACTCATTTTCAACTCCCTTACTTAAGTTTGAATATAATATAGCTTGCTTTCTATCCCAAATGCCAGGTGTTACAATCTTTGAAAATTCATTTTTCCTCGGAAGCATTGCATCATAATTGAAAACATTCTTGAAATCATCACTTGGTTCAGAGATTTGAAATCTTATACGTAATGGATTTTTTTTCTTTTAGCGACTTCATTGAATGGTGAGAATACAACAAACTGACAGTCATGTGTTCCATCTTCATTTTCATTAAATTCATAATGAAAGTCTATAAGTTGTGGCTGACTACCTTCTTCTTTCAGTTGTGCAAGAAACTCACGTAAAGGTTGTAAAGTTTGTACTTCAATGTTGAACTTTTTCTCGAACATCTCATTAAATGAAATCATACATTGCAACAATGTTGTATCGTCTTTAAAGTATTTGTATATGTGAATGTTTTGGGCGCTTAAAGACTGTTCGTCATTTTCTATCTCGACTTGAAGTATAAAGTCAACCTTTCTGAAAGCACGTGTTATATACATAGATGTTATGCCAATGTACTTCTCTTCATTTATGTTCACAATCCAGTCTGTTGGAAACTTAAACGTTACTCTGTTCCCCTTTATTTTGACGTCAGGGTTTTCACTACTGAACGCAACAGATAAAGGTATTTGTCTATACATTTAATTCGGATAAAAATAAACCATTTACTCTTTCTTTGCTTCAGCTTCTTTAGCTTTTGCTTCAGCTTCTTCTCTAGCTTTCTTCGCCAGCAAACGTGGGTTCTTTTGTCTTCCAGCAGCTAATGCAGCAAGTTGTTTTTCACTAAGTTTTCTCTTTGGTCTCTCTGGCTTTTGTTCTTGTTTTTGTTCCTTCAGTTCGGATAAAATTTGCTCACGAATTTCTTTCTTCAATGCTTCAACATCTATGACCCCTTGGGTCTTGTCCGTAGGGCTTGTCTGAGTCATTTGACTGCAGATAAAAAACAAAATTAAAACTTTAACCGATGTAAAATGAGCTTGTCAAAATCAGAGCGAGAGTCTATTATATTAAATGACGCCAGAGGAATACAACATCCTTTCTATTACGTAAGTCAGAGTAAAGATGGTAAAATATACGTAAGAAAAAGAAAGGTTCCATTAGCGAATGCAGAAAGCGACAACATTAAGGTGTATGGTGAAGTCCACGAAGCCCATATAAAACCTTCTGTTCAAACTGAAAAGTCAAAGAACCAGAAGAAAAGAAGCCAGATGTACTTTCAATAACGAACCAAGAGCTTATTGCAAAGTTCGTGAATTTCATTGAAAAACAAACCGAGTCAAAGAACCCTGACCCCAGTGAAAGAAGTTGAGACAAAAGAGAATGTACAGTTCATTGAAAATGTCAAGAAACAACTTCCACCACGAATGCCAAGAAGAAGAGTGAGAATAATGAAGTAAATAGATATTTTTATCCGAAGTAAATACATGCAGAACGAACAGTTAAACGAATTTACTCCAGCAGAGCATATTCATCAGATTCGCTCATATTTCGATATCATAGATCAATGCAGTTCAAATTGGTGACACTAATAGAAAATATTCTGACGCAAAGATTCCATCACAACCTGGAACTGCTAAAGATAACACATGGGTAACATTCAATCTCTCACCTCCTGGTGAAAATATGTTGGACCTTTACAATACATTCATTACGTATAAAATGGAAGGTCAATTTATTGTAGATAAAGAAATTGGTTCAGGTTCCAATAAAACAAACCCACCAGGATTTTGGATTGGTTTCGATGACGCTTTCTATGCAGTTGCTGGATATCAAATCCTTGCAAATGGTCGTATCGTATATTCTCAAGACAACGCAAGAGAAGAAGCATATATAACTTCAAACTCACAAACTACCGAACAAATAAAGAAAGTAGATGTTTTCTCAAAGACTCGACATGAAGATGTATGGAGTCATTCGGGAACATGCAGAACAGGACAAATTGTTAGTGGTCCAATTACAGCAGGAAAATCATTTGATTTTAAGCTTCGTTTAAGAATTCCTGTTAGAAGATTCCTTCCATTAGAAGCTATTCGATTTATTCCAGCTTTTGCAGGAAACATTCAGCTTAAAGTAAAGTTCAGTAGCGACGCCTTACAATGCACATCTATATCTGTAAATGATATCATTGCTTTCAATCCAACTCTTAAAGTTGCATTTGCTTCAGATTCAAATCCACCGACAAATAAATTTGTTCCATGGAATGAACCATTCACTATGATAACGAAGGCAGTAGAAGCTAGTGGAACAGTTACTATTACAACTGTAACCCAGCAACTATTTCGAACAAAGATGGATTTTAATGAATGTTTCATTCATCCAAAGTCATTCTCTTTAGACCCTAACATTTATACAGAACTTGTAGAACATTATACAAACGAGGCTTTATGTTTTCCTGTTAAAGTTATGGATTGGATTCCTATGGACGGTTCATTCTCAAAGAATACAGATAGTTCAAGTGCAACATTTACAGCAGCTTATACGCCTATTAATGTTAAAAGTATTTGGGCACTATTTAGAAAGAAAGACAACTATTATGTTAATTTTGAGAACCCTAAGTTTAAATATCTTCAGCTTTCCATGGGAGCTTATGGAAATATGCCTGCAGAACCTGAAAAATCATATGGACCTGTATTTTATGAAATGGTTGCGAACGCTTGCAATACAAACAATGATATGATAGGATTTAATGAAGATGTTATGAGGTCATTGGTGGATGATGGTAGTGTGGAACATAAATGGGATAGCTATGACAACACACATTTCTTATGTGGTTTTCCAACAGAAGTGGACTTTTGCTTCCAGCAAGGTCAAACATCTACTGCTCCAATAACATACAAATTGTCTGTTAAAGGACCTATTGAACTAGCAACTGAAAATGTACCAAAGCCACTTATTGGATTTATGAGGGATTGTTGCTTTGCCATTCAGGTGCGTGCTAATGGAATCCCATAATAAGATTAGATGACTATAACTTAGCTACGGACGACAGTGAGGAATAAAGGATGAACGTTTATTTTTAAAGCTTATAAATGAGTTCTTCATCAAGCTCTCGTGAACCTTCACCATCTATGAAACAAACTTTACCAAACGATTATGGAGCACCTATTGAATATTTCTTACGAGCTGCACAATGGCAAAGAGCAGTCTCACCAAGGTTAGGTGTTCCACCAGCTCCTGTCAAAAATAGCATTTGGTCAAGTCCTTATATAAATATGGTCTCCCACTAGGTTTGCTAGCTACAGCAGGAGCAGTAATGATGTTGAAAAGAAATAAAGCAAATGTTGTAAATAATACTGAAGTAGCTGAAGTTAAACAAACTCCAACGCCTTCACAAGCAAAACCTTCAATGACTCCTGAACCTATGGAAGTACAAACTCCTGTTCAAAAGTCAACTCCTAAACCGACTCCAACATTTAAACCAGAACCTACTCCTCAAATAAATCGTAAAACTCCTGCGTTTCCTTACTGAAAAAAATAACGTTATTTTTATTTAATATTAAAATTTTTATTTGATTGAAATGACAAATAAAGTCACTGAAGCAATGAAACAAAAGTTTTTGGTAGAATACATTAAATCAGGAACTATTCCAGAAGGTTTTTACATTCATACTATGAAGGATGGTAGAGTTCAGTTTAGAAAGATAAAGCAACCATTAGATAGAGAAGGAATTTTGAGAAAGATTAAACTTCATGAGGACAACATTGCTGAACTTAGGAAGAAGTTAGAAGAGTTGGAGAAAGGAAGAGAGTTATAAAGCAATGAATTCAACAGACCCAAAGGGTCAGAGCCGCTTTGCGGCTAGGGTGAAAAAAGAGGTGAAAAAAGAGGTGAGATCTCACCGCTTCACCTAAATTTATTTTTGCGCTATGTTTTCATACGTGTGAGGGTGGTGATATCATTAATTTTTAAGTTTATTTTTTTATTTTATTTGGATGTAAATGACGAAAACTATTGAGATAACAAACTACAACGGTCATGAGTTCAAGAATTTGTTCTTCGTTCCTCGTGAAAATACATTCTATCAGATACGAGGGAGAAAGGGTAAAGTTAGTTTGAGCGTTTATGAAGGAATGAAGAATGGAAAGTTTATACAAGCATACGATACAAACGGTAAACGTGTTTCATTACATTTGTCAAAACTTACTAACATTTATTTTGACAGTGATTTTGACCTATATGAAGAAGAAAGTGAGTCAGAAGATTATGAGCTGTTATGTGAAGCACAGCAATGGGAGGAGTTGCAATACTTTTGTAAGTGAGAACGTTTATTTTTACATTAGTGAAGTCATTAGTGAAAACATTAGTGAATTCGTTAGTGAAGTCGTTAGTGGGTTTGTAAATATTTAAGGTTAAGTTAGTGTTGTCATTTGTGTTGTAAAAATATATGTTAACGGTTTTGTAAAGTGTCAAATTCACAAGTATTGGGTAAGGTGGAACGCAGTGCCACCATACACATGATATGTATACTAACTTAGAATACATCCAGAATTAATGAAAGGAAAATCAACAACAAAAACTTCATCATCCAAAATCAAAGCGGATAAAATTAAACCACTTACAACACCAAAACCTCCAACGGTAGTACCTCCTCCTTCAGTTAATCCTTCATCATTCACTTTATTATATCCATTTCAAACATTAAAGAAGCAAAAAGATTTTAAAAAGGATTTCAAGATATTAAATAAACCAACTGACCCAAAAATTCAACCATTAAAGGAAAAATTTAGTCGCCCTTCATTTGCACCATATCCATATTCATACGAAATCGATCATTTAGAATATTCAAAAGGAAACGTTACTTATTTATTTGCCATTAACATTAACACTAGATATTTATATTGCATTCCAGTGAAAGGGAAAACAGAACAGGAAACAAGAAGAGCTATTCAATACTTACTAGATCATGAAAGAGTAGATAATATCAGGGGTGATGGTGATAAAGGATTTCAGGCAGCTATGGCTCATTATTTCCCACAAATTAATTTTTACTTCTCATCTTCTCCATATACGTTTCATAATAAAATAGTTGATGCGGTAATGAGAACTCTTAGAGATGCGTTAGGAGTTAACGGTCAGATATACTGGAATGGAAATCATGACTCCATCATACAGCAGTTAGTATATTATTACAATAATACATGGCATAGAACTATAAACATGGAACCAGTGGAAATGAAAAATGATATTTCAAAAGAATGGGAATATATTAGAAAGCAAATGGAAAGGTTAAATGATGTTAAACGTGAACAAATTAATTCGGGCTCATGAATTTTAAACAAGGGGATAAAGTTTTGATTCATCTCGATTATGGAAAAACTGATAAATCAATGACAAAAAGAAGACGAAGATTTGACACAATAGCTGAATTTGTTAGATATATTAACGGCAATGCATTAGTTGAAGTTGACAATAAATTAATAGAAATTCCGATTTATTTTATTACTCCATTATATTTAAATATATTTAATTTTTTTATTTCGTAAGAAATGAGTGACAACAAAGCAGCCAAGAGTCCTGATTCAATTAAGATTCAGAGTCCAGACAATGAATATAAAAAAAACTAAACAGAATTAAATCAAAAATATGCTATTACAAAAGAAGCCGCAATGCGGTGGGGCTGATGCCCATAAAACTAAAGTAATTGAAAACGATAAAGAGAGGAAAGAAATAATCGAAAAATTAGAAACTTACCGTTCAATCCTTAAACTGAGTGAAGCAAAAATAAAAGAATTTAATAGAATAAATAAATTGATTGGAAGAGATGAATTTAATAAAGATGAATTTTTAAACTCAATCCAAATTTAATTTTTATTCCTCTTCGACAACGTCTCGAATAACTGAAGGTGTCACCACGTCACCATGTGTCACCTGGTTAATTAACTTCTCTCTGGATCCTGTGAAAAATCCTGTGATAAATAAATATGTCTGTTATAACTTACAGGATATGAATAGACCATACCACCTGAAACAAGAACACAAACATTTGAAGCATAACATAAAGCTTCAATGTCTCCATCAGCTTGAAAAATTTGTTCAAAACGACCAAATGGTATTGAAGATGATCTATAAATTTTATCATTTTGTAGGATAAAATACATGTTGTTAATGTAATACCACTTACTTGTATAATCAATTTCCAAATCTGATGACATCATACTAAACATATAATAATTTATCCCATCCTCACTAATGAAAATTTGATTGACTTCATAAATTAGTACCCATTTATTATTAACGCATCTAATAGGATTATTTGGATATTTAAATTTAGCATCTTGATTTAAATTACATTTGAACCATTGGATACAATCGAATGAATAACAAGGGTAAAAATCATCTCCAACCGTTATCATTCCCATAAATTTACCGTTATTATATTCAACATATAAAATTCTTGGATTAATGATTGGCTTTCGTGTATCAGGATTCCAAACAGATGGAGTAAATGATTCATAGTTTTTAAAATCATTTGTTTTAAAATAATAAAGCACTCCAGCTGTATAAAATAAATACGTGGTCACTCCATCGAAACATATCCATTCAAAAGAATCTATATCAAAGGTTTTATCTGATGATTTCATAAAATTTAAAAATGGTGGAGTAAAATAGACCTCTGATTGTTTTATTTCTTCATTAACAAATGATATATCAGCTTTCTTTGCTAACTCAGTATTAATGAATGAAATAACTTTTTCCTTATCTGCTTTCTTATTTAATTCAGTATTAACATATTCCTTATCTGCTTTCTTCATTAACTCATCGTTAACATAAGTTTTATCTGCTTTAAGGTCTAAACATCCTGAAACCCATTCTGTATCAGCTTTAACTTTAAAAGTCTCCAATGTCCATTCATGATACCATTTAACCTTTTCTTTAATTTCATTATCTTTTTCATCAACATAAACCAAATTTGCCTTCTTATTTAATTCAATATTAACATATTCCTTATCCACCTTCTTCATTATGTCATTTAGGAAACCTTCTATGAATTCCACATTTAAATTAAATCTTCCAATCTTCAAAACTTTAGGAAATGCATTTAATGCGTAATATCTCTGTTCTTCTGGTGGAATTGATGTTATATCATCCGTTATACCTTTAATTTTAGAATTCATAAATAAAATTTCTTTTATATTTGATATCACTGCACCACCTTTGCAAACGAATTCGAAATGGTCATTTTTCAATACTATCTCCAAATCTCCATATTTCAACCTTTGCGTTTGTTCTGCCGTCTTTGAATTATATGCATATATGGCGTATGTAATGGTCTGAAGGACCTGGGCGTTTTGCGCCTTAAGTTGCTGTTGTTTAATCATTTATTACGATTTAAAAATAAATATTTAATCCGTTATCTCATCAGCTATTTTCTCTATTTGAAATTGCCATAATATTTCATTCATAAATTCTAAATCACAATCAAATAGGTCAGTTATTCTAAATTTAATATTTGATAAATCTTTTGAATGAAGAATAAATGAATTCCCGGATAATTGAAACGGATATTAAAGAAAATGTGTTTAAGTTGATGGATAAAATGTTTTGTATTGATGGGTAAGAGTTAGGGTCTAATGTTTGATGTGAAAATCTCATTGGGGTATTAACTTTATCACATTTGATTAAAATGAAATTGGAACCAGTGTCAGAATACAAAACATCCCCAACATCTTTTCAAAATTTAATATCCCCAACAATGAACGAAGATGAGGAGTACAAAATTTAATTTTCAGCGGAAATTTAATAAGGTTATTTATTCATCAAGTTCAAAAAGTTTATCAGGTTTTGATTTAAAATTTTCTTCATACCATACGATAAATGATTCATTTAAATAACTTAAAATCATGTTAATATCCCATTTCGCTATCACATTATTTATATACATATCATACGTTTTTTCAAGGTCATCTTTAATAAATGATATATAATCTGAAGAGTCTAAAAGAATGGGATTAAATTTACCACTCACAGAAACGAGAGTAACATTATAAATTCCGCTAACTGTTAAATTTAATTCACAGTTATTATTCGAAATAATATTGATAATTGACATTTTTTTTACGATTAAAAATATGGTAAAGCGTTATTTTCCAGTGATAAATAAAACTAGAATAAGATTACCTCAAGAATTCATAAATTCAACGAATAAGAAATTCATTCATGTTATAAATTTTAGTGTTTTCAGAAAATATGAGTCAGTGTCATATTCATCAACAGGTTATATTTCACTTCATTCAAATTTAGTTCAATCAAACCCATATAATGACCATTTCATAAGATTTTCAGATGGTATTAAAAATGTAATTGATAGATTAAAATATGAACAGATTGACAATATCGAATTTTTGGAATTTTGGTTTAAATATCCCGATGGAAAAAAGATTGAAGTTAAAGATAAAGCTGATACTATAACAAAAACAATTACAATGACCGATCCGGATAGTGGGGAACAAAAAGAAATAAAACAAACGATAGAAATGGTGAAAGGTCAATTATTATTGATTATGATTCAAAGGATTATTATTCGATAATGTTAATGCTTGAATATTAAATAGCCTTAACAAAGAATTTTTCAAGTGATATTTTATATTCATCAACTATTTTATTATAAATATCATTATATGTTAAATGAAGTTCAGTTGTTGTTCCGTTCTTTGATATCTTAATTGTGCTAATATCCTTTATAGGATTTATTTTTGCAACTGTTCCGCAGCATGAAACCTCATCATCTATGAAAAATTGAATCTTAACGTCTGAATCTTGAACATCACAAAGAATGGCGATAATGTGAATTAATGATTCATAAGGTAAAATAATTAAACCGGATTGGTCAATTAAATTTATTATTGAATCATAATTATTAATTATTATATCACGGTAAATTTTCATTAATTCAGAATTAATGTCTATTTTATATGGGTTCTCGATGTTTGATGAAAGAGGCGGGGGTATGTTGGATAAGTGGGAATTTCAACAGGTTCTTTACCGGGTTCAGATAAAATGATTGGGTCTCCATTCTCATGGTTTTCTTCATTCTCCTCATTCTTCGGTAAGTCACGAGTTAATAAATTTGGTTGAGTTGCTGACCTTGTTAATTCAGGGCTAACATTAACTTTAACATTTTGAATAATTCGTGATTTATCATCATTTACGTTATAACCAACCGTAATCTCTGCTTTTGCGTTAGTGTTCTTTTGACTAGTGAAACGTCTTCTCATTTATAATCGAATAAAAAAATATATTTAAACTTTTATTTTGCTGGAAGTTTTGAATCTATTATTCCCTGTATTTGTTCTTGAAGTTGATTTTAGCTGGTTTCATTGTAATTAATAGACCTAATATATTCATTAATTGCATTCTTATAATCATCTGATTTCTCAAATTTTCTTTTATCTGATTCCTTAACTAAATCATAAGTTAAACCTCGTTGCTGATATAATGGTTTCTTAATTAAATCTTTGAATGCTTGAGATAAAGCACCTGATGCAATTCTTGCTACTATAATTGGTTGGAATTGCTGTTTAAGTTCATCTTTAACATTTGCGAAAACTGGATCGAATAAAGCAACTTTAAAGAATTTCTTAGCTGAAATTTCGGTCTAATATTTGCATATTGACCATCAAACTGGTTAGAATATCGTGGTAATCCATCCGGTCCCTCTTCAATAGCATTTAATTCTTCATTGAAATAAGAATATGGATTATAACGGTATGAATTAATTGGACCATTTTCACCTTCTCCAATGTATTGTTTAACAGCTTTTCCATTTTCATCAAATTGCATAGGATAACGTTCATTATATGCTTTACGTTTAGGATAATCAGTTATAGTTAATTTGTAACCATTTATGACTTTAATATTACCTTGACCATCAGTAATGAAAACTTCATTTATACCATCAGGTTTTCCATTTGGACCCGTAATGTCTGCTTCGTGTGCTTCCCAATTTGGACCTTGACGTTTGGCATATGCTTGAGCTTCTGGTAATGTTAAAACGTTTCTCATTTGTTTAACATCTTTTTGAAGACCAGCAACAATATGAACTAATTCTTTCATTCCATCAGGAACTTTCATAGTTCTATTATATGCACCCTTTTTGTTTGTTCCTTGTTTTAATGGAACCTGTAGAAGATTTGCCATTTCTGTCATGTTTAATTATAAATAAAAATAAAAATTAATTATAAAAAGTTAATCAAATTTAACACCTCCTTTATTTAAATCAACTATTATTTTTCCATGTTCACCTAATTGCTGATATTGTGTGTAAAGTTCATTAATGCTCATTGGTAAATTCACTTGATAAAGCATAACGTTCAACTGTTGACGACTAAACCCACTGAAAATGAAAAGTGTTGATAGATTTGATTTAATGTTTGTGCTTAATGCTTTGAAGTATTGAACAGCCATGAAGAATGAACACTGAATGTGTCGACATTGAGTTAATAACTGATTAAAATATGATTTCTCATTTGTTATTAGTTTTGATTTCACTGCATCATCTAGAAAAATGAGTGAATGCAAAAATTCTCTATCAAAATTTGAAATAGAAAGTGTTTCAAATAATTCATCCCGTTGTTTATCAATAATTTTATCCTCTAATCCTTGCTTCTTGATTGTATTATATAATTCTTTATACATTAAAAAGTTTTTTAAATAATCTTCTGCTTCTTCTTGTGATAAATAAATAATTGGAATTTTGATTAAATGCTTTAAAGATTCAAATGTATCATCTGAAGGTGAACCTGAACGGTTGATATAAATTAACACGTGTGAATAGGGGGAAGTGTTAGCAATAATGATAATTTGTTTTAATATCGTTAATGTTTTACCTTTATTCTGTTTACCAATTGCTGCAGTGATTGAATTTAAGTAACATTCAGAATATGGAATTTTCATTAATTTTTCCTTAGATAGAGCATTTCTATTATCACTCAATGCTTCATTAATCATATCATCTATGTATGTATTATATACTCCTGCTAATTCTTCATAAGGAGTGGATGAATTTAAATCCATTTAATCAAAAATAAATTTATAATTTTAAACATTTCTATTCATCAATATTTCATCATATGAACTTCTATACTGTGGTGGTGTACCTGTTGGATGATATTTCAAACCTTCATCCGGTGTCCATGTCCAATATGTAGTCCTAGTAAACCAAACCTGAGGAGGATTTGTCACCTTTGAACAGTAAGTGTCATTTTCACCCTGAATGATTGGATAAGCTTTCACTTGTACTGTAACTTGTGAGTTGAAAGTTTCTAATCCATCAAAGAATATACCCGCTCCATCACGTTGAACTGGAATAGTGCATAAGAATGAAGTTTGGTCTTTCCATGTTCTAGCTAATGGCGTGCCATCATCTGCATTAAGTGGTCTAGTTAATGAGTCCTCGTATTCTTCTGTGCATTCATTCACTCCATCTAAATCAGAAGCTTGAAGCATACGTGTAAAGAATATGTCGCCCACTGTGGTCATCGCTTGATCGGGGAAGTTTCTGGAATCTATAGTGACCTGAAGACCTCGAAGCATTGGATTTTCTAAAACTGTTCTTTGCATTGCATTCTTCGGAAATGCTAACACAACATCTGTAACATTATGAAGAGCGTATGAGAAATCTGAGCTAATACCTTCAGGAGTGATGCAACCTCCATTTAGTGAACGAACGTCAATATGTTGAGCTGGAATCATGAATGGATCTTCCTTACTGAATAAACGTGGTATTGCTTTAACTGATTCTTCAATTAAACCGTATCCTGGTGTAATGCATTTATCCTCTAAAACTTCCATCTTTGTGCATGAAATAATAACGTCATCAACTGTTGCGTCAGCAGATGTAGCGGCTAAGCTTGTAATTAATTTGGCAGGAAGTCCGATTTGTTGGAATTTGCGATCATATTTATAAACATGATTCATAATCTTTTCATAATTTTCATCAGTTATCTTTTCATAAACGTAATTTTGTAAATCAGCAACTCTTAACGGGTCAACCTGACAAAATACTAAAGTATCCCTGAAAACATAATATTTAAGAATGATATCACCAAATGATTTAGGATAATCATCGAACGCCTGAAATGCTAACAAATCATTTACCGGAATAATCATATCAAAAGTGACATCAACTTCTTCATTTGCTTTCTTGAAAACTTCTGAAGGGTCAATATATTTACCACATACTGAGTTATCATATTTTTGAACATTATTATATAACGAATGAACAAACTTTTTAACTTTCCTTTCTGATTTTTTTATATGTTGCAAATGCGAAAGATTCACGGGCGCAATCCATCTGAAGATAACCGGCATCACCTCTTTCGGTTTCTACTTCTAATTGTTTAAAGCTTTGATTTGATGATTTGTAACCAACGAATAAACGCATGCATTTAAAAGCGGCATCACATGTGAAAGCTTTATTTGAAACTAGAGTTGCTTTAACTTTGCGTTTAATATATGTGTCACCTAATTGGTTCACATCATGAGCCGGATTTGTAATTCTTAAATGAGTTTGTTTATCATCAAAATATGGAGCATCAGAGTCATAGCATGAACTTTCAAGTTCTCTATAATATCTTCTACCGTCATTCTTTGCGAATATTTCATTTATCTTTTCGAATGAATGAAATACATTTCCATTAATCGGTTTAGTGTTTGGCACCAAATAGTTAGTCGTCATTTATTAATAAATAAAAAATCAAAATTAAAAGATGAAAATGAATTTTTAATTTTAATGAAATAATCAACTATGGCTGCAGGTATATTTAAGAAACTGTGGAATAGAGTAAAAAGAGGAGCGAGTAAAGTTTGGGAAACATTGAAGAAGGGGGCAAATTGGATATTTAAGAATAAAGAAGCAATTAGTGACGTTGCTGAATCAATAACACCAAAAGCTGCCCCAATAAGAGAAGTTTTAAATAAAGGAGAAAAAGTTTATCAAAGACTACAACCGATACTAAGATAAAAATAATTTTAAGCCGCTAAGCGGTGAGATGATCCATAGGATCTCATATTTATTTTTCCACTATCTACCTCCTATTTTATTAAGTATTCCTTCAGCAATTCCACCAATTGCGTTACCTGCTTGTGCTCCCATCGCCGGATTACCTGCTTTAGTACCTAATACTCCACCTATGATAGTTCCTGCCGTTTTCGCTACTGGTGCCAAAAAGTTTGCAACGGGTTTAATAATCTTTTTATAAACCAAACCCGCAGCTTTCTTAATTCCATCCCATAATTTTTTAAAGAATCCTGCCGCCATTTCTGATTTAATATTAATTAAAAAAATATATTTCATCACTTATATTCTAATTTTTATTTAATGATAAATGAAACCGATTTTAAAAATAAATGAAACAGAGGAGGAAGAAATAAATGAAAGTGAAAATGTTCAACAAAAAATAAACGTTGTTAAACCAATTACTGAAATAAAAATTTTTTCATCTGTTGAAGAATTTAATGACTATTATGCTAATAATAAAAAATTATTTGAAGAATTGACAACGTGTAAATTGAATAAAATGTTTAAAGTTGATGGATTCAAAATTTCAAAAATAAAAGGAGTGGTTAGTTTGAAATCTATTCCTCAATCAAGAATCACCTCATTAATGAAAATAGATGATTTAACAAAAAGAATAGAAATTATTGAAGAAAGAATGAATCAAATAATTGATTTCATAAATTCAAATAATCATTAGTTTCTTAAAGTTCTATGTTGAACTCATCAAATTCTTCTTCATCATTACCATTACCATTACCATTACCATTACCTTTAGCGAGTTTATTTACTCTTTCAACTTTATCTTTTGATAGTCTTTCGTTTAATTTTTTTCTGAAGTTTTTCGTTACCAAGTTCTAAAATTTTAAACGGATGATTATTAAACCCATTCAGGATTTAAACAATGTTTAATTAATCGCGGAATATCTGACATCATCTATATATAGCTTCTTTTATAAAAGATAAAATAAATTATTTTAAAATTAATGTTAATTTTTTTTAATGGTTTATTTTTTTAAAATTTTTTTTTATTTTTTATTTCATTATGTATGGGCTGAGTGTAAATGTCTTACAATTTTGAAAATTTTTTAAATCTTGATTTATTCAAAAACGTAAGAATAAAAACCGTAAGAATCATACATTTTTTACTTCATATGTTAAAAAAAATGATACAAAATCGCTCGATATTGTATGAATTCTTACGTTTACAAAAAAAGTCACAAAACCCATCATATCCTACTACTTATAGGCTTAATAATACTGAAAATAATAATTTTGGATCATGAGATAAACATGTGAATGGAAATTCCAAACTTAACTCGCATTTCCAAAATCGATTCCTTATTCCAAAAAAATTTTCAATTAGAATAAGACCCTATATTATTTTAATTGAAAATTGATTTTGGAATAAGGAATTAATTGATAATAAGAATTATGAATAGGAATACAGAATAAAGAATATCCGATTCTCAAAAGGAATCAAGATACTAACATTCAAAAAATTGAATATTTACTGTGAAAATTTAAGGGTGTACTCCGGTCAAAAAATGGTGTCAATTAGTACCGAATCGGCATAATAGAAAAGCCCTTGATCGTTGAAACGTTATGGTAATAGTTTCAATGCCCATCTAATATTATATCATACAGTAAAATGAAAATCCAATTTAATAATTTATATGCTACATATAATTCAACATCCAAACTTAAAAAGCGTCTATAATTAAAAACTATTGTATTAAAACCAAAATCACAAACTTTTGATAACCTATTCCTCAAAAGCCAAGAAATTTCAAATTATTTCTAAACATAGAATAGAGATTTTTAATAAATAGATGAAATGATCGAATTCAAATCTGTTACAGGCATTTAACTCATAGAGAACAAGACCTACAAGGGCAAAGATTTTCACATACTTTTTGAACCAAGTGTACGCAAAATACATTACTTCAGAGTAGGAACATGATGACTTTCAAATCCGATAACTTCAAAATTTAAATTGAAACAATATTATAAAAAAATGCACAAATAATATAAATGGATTATTTATAATGCGATAATTATACTATACTTAGTTAATGTATTTACATTATCTTAGTTAAATTACGAGATCATGGCTTTTTGCAAAAAAATCATAATAATTTACAAAATTAAATAATTTGTAGAAATTTAAGTATGGTAATTGTAATGTATCACGGTAATTAATAATATAGCTTCGAAGCTATTGCTTGACGACCATAATCAGTTGGCTCATTTGCATTTTTTTGTGATGCTCTAAATTCTCGACGTTTATGGTTTTCCTGAGCCCTATAGTTGGGATCAGAGGTACGGTATTCTCTTCTTTGTTCTCCAACTTCACTAAGAATATGGGAAATTTGCTTGTTAAAAGGATTTTGAGGTTTAATACCGATTTCATTGGGAACTCTCTCTAATCCATGTGGATCATTGTGCTCTATGACGTTAAGAAGAGCTCTTGATGCTAACGAATTTCTTAATACTTTGTTTTTGGGTGCAGCACGAGTGATAAAAGCATGAAGACTTTCATTCTGCTGCGTGTTAAATGATCCACACGTTTTAATTATATAAGTTTTTACGTTTTTTGTATGAAATTATAACTGCATGTCGTATAGGTTCTTCTCCAGTACAAACGACATGCAAGAATTGTCGCGATCATGTGATATCAATTTGAAGTTCTCAAAAGGAATTTGTTCAGAACAATTCTTGAGAACTTGTGTCTCAAGATTTTGGGTCCGAACCAAAGTAGCCTACAAATCGAGAGGAAACTTTGGTCGCAACTATGAATACAAAGTATATTGACCTATGACATATACCATATATCAGTACATATACCCCACATATACATATATCACTTTGGCCTATAATTTCATTATTGATAAAATAATTATTTTTAAAATTACATTAAATTTCAATATTCTTTTCTACAATGAAATAACTCTTTATATTGGTATATATAACAGTAACAGATTGCATCAATATCTATTATAGTAGTGCATTAAATTTTTGATCACATCAAAAAATGTGTCCAAATGTATTAAATCGGTTAAAAAGCATTATATTTATATATATATGATATCCATACGTTGATAGCATGTAGATATATTGTATATTGAGATATTTGAGAAATGATTAATGATGTGCTAAAATTTGGTGTGTTTGAGAATATTTGCTTGTTGATATTAAATTTATTAGTGTAAATGATATCAAATATATATGAATGAGTTAAGTATATAGAGATTTTTCGGAATCTCCAAGATATTCGCATCAAAAAAAGTTTCGTTAATTTTGATAAATGTATATGTGTGTTTTTTGTTATATTATATAGATGAGAATGTGGGGGTAGGACCATTTGTATCGGTCTCAAATAACTCCTTTGTACTTTTTCGTTGTGCACGTTCCACAGCACCAGGTGGTGCTGTCCGGAACACCGCTATATAATATATTATACTATATAATGTTTCCTATATTTCATACATATACTTCATATATATAGCTCATTCACATAATGCACAATAATCGTTTTTTGACCCCCGATAAGCGTCTTTTTTAATCACAAAAACACATTTATATCTCTGTGGATATTGATCCTACACACATCTTTTATTATATAAATAAAAAGTATATATTATTATAAGACATCTATAACAAAATGAGTACAAATGGACTAACTTTTTTTTGGATATAAATTATATTTTCTCAAAAAATAGCTCAAACTCATAAAACACATCACAAAATAAAATATTTTACTAAATATATTCAAAATACACTCAGATTATATAAGCTTATGTGTAATATGCTGATTGCATTTTAATCACACCTCAAAACTCACCCAACAAGCCTAAATCTTTTATCACATATTTGGACACATATATAGATATTATTCATATATATCATAAGCTCATAACACATCACCCTCACAAGATATAATAAAATTTGAATGCTTTTGATGTGCTCCACGTACGAATTTTTTTGATAGTTAATATTGAGTCTATCTGAATACACCATATAGTATTACTAATAGTATTATATTTATCTATTATGCAAAATTAAGAATAAAGTTGATAACCATAGAATTTCACCTTTGATGTGCTAATATCTC